ATTAAAATTAAAATCAATACATACATATTTTACATCATTTAAATTAATTTTTGTTGCATTACATAATAAAATATCTTTGATTTTATGTTTTAAATTGGTACTACAAATTTATAATAGAAGTAAAAAGATTTTCTAAGATAAAATTTAGTACGAAATTAAAACCAGAAATCATACGTGTTATAATTCTTATATAATTCTTTATTTAGAAATTTTTTAATAAAAAAGAATACGATTAACTTGAAAATAAATAAATAAAAAAAAAAAGATTAATATATAAATAAATATTTTAACAAATATTTTTCTTCATTATTTGTTATCCAATTATCCAAATATATTCGTTCATTGTTCATTTTAATACACAACAGTATTACTGCGTAAAAATGGCGCATCCATATTAAATGTTGTGTCATGTTATCTTCGCATGTAATGTAATTCGTGTTCACATGCGCGCCAACTGCGCGAGTCATCTGCGGACACTTGCTCTTGTACGCGGATATCATGAATGCGAGTAGATCTTTGTTCCTGAACTATTGAAATGCGTATCAATGGCGGTACTTACGTTATAAATACATCTAATATTTTCTTTAAATTTAATTTATTTTACAATATTTATTTCGTTTTTTATTAATTATCAAACTCATTGATAAAATAAAAGTAAATTTTTTTTAATTACGTGTATTTTTCTTCTATGAGATATTAAATATTTTCCATTTTTAAGTTTTTACGTTTTTATTCTTACATTTTTCTTTGAATATATAACAATAATAAATTTATTTAATTATCTTGTCTTAAAAAGATCAAAATATTTATTAGCAAAAATTCTAAAATATATCACGTATTTATTTGTTCATTATAAGAAAAAATTATTGTACAAAACGAATGATTAAATACTTATAAATACTTACAGATGTATATTTTTATATTTATTTATTAATCTGTCTATTTTAGTATGAATACACAATTGTTTTATTAAAGAAATATCTGATCGAGAAATATACATATATATTTTAAGGAAAACAAATTTTAAATGATTTTTTTTTTTAATTTACTAATATGATAAGAAAGATATTTTACATTTTATAAATTATGTTGCATTTTTAATACAGACATTATTATTATTCGTTTCTCTTTTACGTTTAAGAACATATTTTCTTTTCCTTTTTCCTCACGCACCTTCGTGTCCATCCATTTCTACGTTTATCATACGTTCACGCATACCTATGAGTCCAGATATCACAGCATAGTATACTACATGAAGCATTATAGACGTCAGTAACCAAATTCATGGAGGTACAACATGAAGTTGGCCCACGTTTTCGGTGGTATCGAACGTTTCGCCTGGTCCCTCCTCCCTTGCCTTTCACCTCCTCTTATCCTCGTTTTGTGGTCCCGAAGAACTCTACTATGATGATGGTATCCTGCCGCTCGTGTTGTCCACCGCGTTGCCGAAATTTTCAGATGATTGATGGCTATTGATGTCCGGGCCAATCTCGACCCGCCCGTAGCACGATGCCAACATATTCGTGCAACGTGTCTTCTTTAGCATCAGCTTGATTTTCATGTATGCGTGCTATGTATGAGAGCAAAGGTGTCTCTAGTGCTCTTGGATCCTTGGGTTATCGGAATTCTAATTTTTTTTTTTTTTTCCTACTAGGAACGTTAATTTTTTATCGCAAAATTTAATACAAAACTTAGATATTTCTATACATTATCTGTAATTTTTATAATTCTATGCATTTTATTTTTATATTTTATTGTTATAATATATCATAGAGGAAGATTAGATTAAATAGATCTTTTTTGCAGTGATTGTTTTAGAGTAGAATAACAATTTGAATAACAATTTTAATAATTGGAGAATCTTCACAAATTTTTTATATCTTTTTTTTTTTGTTTTCTTAAAAAATATATATATATATTTTTTTAAATTTTTTATATTTGGAAAAATTATGCTTTTGCCAACAAAATATTCATATCATTAGTTAAGGAGATGATTCGAATAAAAAATTTATTTTTAATTTTTCCCAATTTATAATAACGTTCCTTGAAGGAATTGCATCCCTTAGAAAAAGTAGAAAAGATCGAATCGAACGAATCAACGACCACCGAAATTAGGGTTGCAAGACTAACTTTCTCTTCTTTCCTAGTTCTTCTTTCTCTTCTTTCCAAGGGTGTAAGAGGTAAAACCTGATTTGTACGATCGACTATCGCGCACAGTGCAACATTTTCATCGAACTGCAGCTAGCGAAGGGAAAGGGTAAGGGTGGTCGAGGGGAGAGGGGTAGGACCGAGCGTCGATGAAAAGATCAAAGGTTCCAGGTGTGTTTGCGTTTCGTGTACTGGTGTTACAGGTGCAGCCTCTTCTACGGCTCTGTTCGCCGTTGCATCAGCAACATGTGTGTTCTTTATTAACAACAATTAACATTTATCCATTGTTTAAAGGCTGCTACTTTCCGCCCTAATTGATATATTAATTCGGCTCCAACTCGGATGATATTAGGAAGAGCATAGCGATGTTATATCGAGGAGGCCTCTGAAAACAGTAGGCCTAAATCAGTGATTATTTATTGTTGTTAAATTTTCAACGAAATGTAAGTTGCAAAATGAAGTAGATCACGTTGTAAATGCTGTATAGACCCTGTTACATGCACGCTATTTTCGCGTTCTTTATTATTTTACATGTTGTTAAATGATAAATTATTTTATAAATTTATTTCATATGCATGCAGTGAGAGATAATTTATTAGAGAATTAATTTATTTATATATTATTATATAATTTCGCGTAATTAATGTATTATAATATTTTAAATTTATTTATTGATATTATAAAATATAAATTTTATTATCAGTATGAATATAAAATAATTTTATTCCTTCCTTGAGGAATATTGGAACAATTTGGTGTTTCGTTATTAATTAAAGTTGTAATAATAGTTTATTTATTGTTATATTTATTTAATTTGTAACATAAATAATATTTTAAATTTTTGCAATTTCAGAATATTTAATGTTTTAAAAATGGGATATAAAAATATCTCAATTTATTGAACTGAATCATTTATTAAATTACACATTACTTGTAATCTTAATTTTCTCTGATTTTCTTTTTATAAAAATTCTTCGCAATTGTTACTTATTCGTTTAAATGAAGTTATTATAGATAATACAAGCAGCTGGCTTACTATGGTTTCTAGATAATAGGAGAACATCCATTATACCTAGTATTTTTCTATTTTCTAGTTAAGTTACACATGTATGCAAATGAATAATATTGATATCGGATGAAAAATGAATTGTTTTTAAAAGATTATTTTTATAATTTTATTATTTATTATTTTTCATATCATTAAACATAAAACATGTTATTTTTTATTTTATACAAGAAATATTTTCAATATTGAATCAAAAATAAAATATTTTCTACAAAATCTTTATTAAGTAAATATAATATTTTAAATTAATATATTTTTATAACTTTGAAATTAAAATTATTTTTAATTTTTTTTTATTCTCTTTTTAAATTCTATTAAAAACGTACTTACCTATTCTATTGAAATCGTTTTTGTCATATGTTGCCGCTTGCGAAAGTATTTATTATGCACCGGTCGATCGACCAACACATCTTTTCTACTTTCCCAATCCTAAAATTTACCAGTCTCCGGTTATGTCTGATGCACCATTATTTTCTCGATTACCGTAGGTTAGTTGCATCAGATACGTCATATTTTTCGTCAAAACACGTCACGAAATCGGCAATTATGTATATTAGTTTGACAAGTTGCATATTGTGTTGCGTATGTTGCCAATGGCGTCATTCACGCGCTTTATCATCACAGTCGATCACAGTATATACTCTTAGCGTTCTCTGTTCATACGTATGTATAATATATATACTTAGATCTTTCTCCATAGTTGTTCAAAATGTCTCTCATTTACTCTAGTAATATAAATTTATATTTTATTTTATTTATTATTTTAAAATAAGAATACGTAGAAATAAAAATTTTATAATTATTTGAAAATGAATGACGTGATAATGAAGATAGAAATAAATTATTTTTATTGATTGATATTCTTCCGTCTATAAAGTAGAATTTATTATATTTATTTATAGCTTTTCATGCATGATATGGATTAATAATATTTTTGTATAAAATATTTCCAATTATTTTTCTAAAATAAACGAAATGTCAAATTTATAATTAATAGTATTAAAAATAATAGAAATTATTCATTTTATTACACGTAATTTAAACCATGATGATAAATTCTTATCTTTCATATCTGATACATATCGTGTACGAATAAACTTGACCAGCAGTAAAGTCGGAACCAAGGATATTTTTGTAACAGTATAACAGGAACGATAAGAAGTTAGTCTCGAATCTGTTGTCATAAACATGATATAATTATTATTTATTTTTAATTGTAGAATGTTACTCAAAACTTATTACGTAAATTGAAAGTGAAAGATAAATTTATATATAGTTTGAATAATAAACAAAAATATTACTATTAAGATAAATGAATATTAATATTCGAGCAGTTAGTTTTGAACTTAATTTTTAATAAAATTTAAAAAATAAATAATTTTTTATAAACTTAGTATTTTTTTTGGTAATGGAATCGTATATTGAATAAAAATAACACATTTTATATATACGTATTTATTTACAAGATAATTATAAACATTGGAATATTGGGATAACAATCGTAATATAAAATTGGTCATCGAATCGATGTGCTATTTTTTTCGGACGGCAATAAATAACATTAACAAAATGCTTTTTAAAGTAATGAATTATACGAATGATATTTATTTCTGAAACGATTTCATAAGAAAGTTATTCATTCTCATTTTCTAACAAATCCTAAAACGTGACATCCCTATAATTTTTTTCTATAACAATTTCTGAAATTCTACTTTATAATTAACCCTGCATTTTGTGCGTAATTTAGTTCTTCTTATTAATTTAACCTGTTTGTGTTTCTCTTTTAAAAAACATAACATTTAAAAATTCATGGATCGAGGATATCATTCAGCACATTCGCAATTTCCAACTCATTAATTCATCGTTATATAAAACATAAAAAGATATTCAACAATATATACGTCCTCTGTAATTAAAAGAATTGAACAATGGAGATTTTTCCACGAAACGATTCTAACATTATTACACTACCTTAGGACGGAGGTGTGGTACTGTCTGAACGTAATTGAGAGGGTGCCGCTTCGCTATACGCGATATCGAACACACTCTTCTTTTCCAATAATTGTTGGTGTCGCCTGTTTCCAGCCTGTAACGACACCGCTATCCCGGAATCGAATTCTTCATCCGTGCGTCCGCATTCCATCGTTGGCGGAATTTCGAAATGTTCTGGCGACAATTGGGGCGAAGGGTGAGGGGGAGGAGGGGGATGAAGGTAAAACGGCGCGGGCGCTTTCTCGTATTTATATTCAGAATGTTGCACCAAATGATGCTTGGGATCGTGGGGCGGAGTCGTGGCGAATATCTGTACCGGTGGATCTTCGTTCCTCCCTCCTTCGGCTCTCCTTAATTTTCTACCTTGGCGAACAATGGCCTTCAATTGTTCGGATTCGACGTTTACCAAAGGTTTAACTTTGCGCCTCGTCCGCGGTGTCGTGTCAGCGGTTTTCTGACTCGACTGCTGCTTTTTATCTTCCTTCTCGGCTCTCTGGCTTCTCATGCTTCTTCGTAACCATCGTGGAAGCTGCTCCTCGTCATCCGTCGCCATTAATTCGGCTCTCCTCTTTTCCATTTCCTCTCGGTTCTTTTTGTACCACGCCATATATTTCGGCTGCGTTTTACTCGTGTCGATCTCCCCGCTTCTCGACGGGGTTGGATATTTCTCGCTACCGATCGATGATTTCTTATCCTTCTCGATCTTCGATCTCGATGCAAATTGTTTTTGCTTTTCTGATTCTTCCTCCCTTCTTCTCCCTTGTTTCGTTTTATCTTTTTGCCTCGATCGATCTTCTAAGGGTTTCCCGCGTGCGCGATACCCACCGTGACTCGCTCCATCGTGAGAATGCGTTGTTGTCTTCTCTTCCTCCGGAGATTCCTCGGAACAACTTTTTTTCTTCCTTTGCGGGGGTATTTTTTTCCTCTCTTGTTCCTTCGCCTTTTTATCGGCAACTTTGAAAGTATCAGTTTTTGCAAGTTTGGAGGCCGATGACGGTTCGTCTTCTCTATTAATCTTTCCATCCTTTCCATGTTTCGTTTCAGATTTTGTATCTTTCGTATGTTTCGTCGAAGACTCTTTGTCTATTTCCGTATCGCTCGTTGCCCTTAATCTTTCTCCACTGAAACACGGTTGTACATTTATAAATTCTTCCCTCGATCCAGTTTCTTCACCTTTCACCGTCTCGGTTGATCTCGTCAAAGGAGCTTGTTCCATACCCGCGTCTTCAACTTTTTCAAGTATCCTTTCCTCTTTCGGCGAGTCCACGTTCCCATTTCCTATCACCTCGACAGCTAATATCGCTTGTTCCTCATCCCCGACACTTTCAGCCACTTCCTCCGTTTGGCTACTCTCTCTCTCGGAAACCTGTCGAGCACGATTTCGCGGGGTTTGATACGGTCTGGTGGTTAACGTTGTCTTCCTGGAAATATCGCTCGATGAATCACTGTCCTCGGAATCATCCATCGTATCTATTATGCTTGTAAAAAGTGGAAGGCTTACGTATTCCTCTTCAACAGGTATCCCCTCTTCCTCTATATGCTTCCTCAAAGTTTTATCCATTACTTCCTCCTTAGTTCGATCTTCTCGCTTATCCGATTCGCCCCTATAAACAATCGTGTGTACATCAGATTCTGTGCTCCGCGATTGTCCCTCAGGAGACGATGTCCCTCTCACAATGAAACTTTCTCCCTCGACAAATTCTTCCATTTCTTGTAATTCAATCTGTTTGCTTTCTGCTGACTTCAATTGCTTTTCAAATTCCAATGTTTTCGCGGAATCTGTTGAAGTTTCGGATATAATGGAGTCAGAGACTAACTTTTCCTTCTCCTGTGTAGTCTTCTGCGAAGAACTTCGAAGCGATTCGATCTCCTGAAAACTGGTGCTCGCTTTGCTTGATGTTGGTACGCGCAACAACTCTTCCTCGCTGATTCGTAACGGTTTGACATCCATCCTTTCGATATCTGGGATCGCTTCTTTCGATTCCTCGCTTATCTCGATTGTTTTCTTCGATGATATTTCGCTGATGTTCTTTCCATCCTTTAGTTTTTCGTCCGCCGGTTGTATCAACGATGGATCGTATTTTAAAGGTTTATCAATTATTACTTTTTCTAAGAGAGGTTTTTCTAATATTAATTTTATCGTTTCATCTTTGTCTATCCCCAAATGTTCATCCGATTCTGTTTTCTTCGATTCTGACACGATATCGATTTGCATACTTTCGCTTGTCTTTTTTTCTGGACTGATAGCTACTTTGTCATCCGTGGAATCGAGAGGTTTATCTTTTGATGTAATTTTCTTATCGTCCATTTGCTCTTCCATTAATTTTATCGAATCACTACTTACTCGAGAAGCGGATGGTTCGCTGGTAATCGAACTTTCTTCTTGACATTTCTCCTTGTCATCGTCAGGATGTGCCACTTCTTTCTGGATAATTTTATCATCTGGAAGTTCAATGATTGCAACCTCTTCTACACTCGTCTTTCTTGATCTTTTGCCGTTCGTCAATTTATCGACTAACGAATGGACAGCTTTAAACATTTCTGAGAAAACATTATCCTTTTTACTGGCGTGATCTTCGGTTGATTCTGTATCTGTTGATGTTTCTTGTTTTGCATTATCGTCGATTGAAGAGACGATAGGAACTTCCATTGAAATTTCCTGAGTTGAAATTTTTGACGAATCTTCTTTTTCTTTAATCTCGTCATCTTTATCAACGTGAGATATTCTCAGAGGTATATCTTCTTTTTCAATGCGATGTTCTTGAATATCATCCTGTTTTTCAGCAATAGGTATTTCTTCAATTTCTAATGTTTCTGGAACAATTTCTTTGTCACTAATTTGATGATCATCGATAATTTCTTTTGTTTCTAAAATTTCTTTTTCGATAATTTTGTGATCGTCTATTATTTGCATTTCTTTAATTGTTTTATTAAATGATTCATCAGTTTCTTCAATACTTTCTGTAATTACTTTTTTTTTTTTAGTGGAATCTTCTTCCTTGTCTTTATCATCGGTAATACTTTCTTTTTCAATTTTATCAATTTTTGGAATTTCTTTTTTTTCTTCAATATCTATTTCTTTTTCTTTGCCAATAAAAATTTCTTTATCACTAATTTTTTCATCGCCACTTTTAATTAGTTCTGTCACAACTTTTACTACAGGAAGAATTTCTTTTATTTCAGGAGAAATACTTTTTTTTTTTTGACTGTCAATTTCTTCTTCAGTATCCAAAACCTTTTTTGTACTGGTTTCGTGATCATCTGTATCAATTTTTTTAGCAAATGTCTTTTCATCAGAATCTTTTTTTTTATCTAAGAAAATACTTTCTTCTCTGCTAATTTTATCATTATCAATTTCTGTTGAATCTTGTTTTTTATCAGATATCTCTTCCTTAGTAGTAAAGTCAGTTTTTATCAGAGATTTATCATCGTCAAATCTTTCTCCAACTATTGTGTAATCCTCCGTTACTTTTTCTTCCATTTTATGATCTGTAGTTACTTCCTCAGTTATTTTAAAATCCTCAGTTGCTTTTTCAGCAATTCCATAATCCTCTGAAATTTTTTTAATCTCTTCATCCTTAGATGTTTCTTCAATACGACTCACAGTTACTTTTTCAGTAATGCCATCATCCTCCATTGTATCATTTTCAATTTTTTGATCTTTTGGTATTTCTTCAATAATTTTTACAATTGCTTCTTCAGGAATTTTATGTTTTTCTATTGATTCTTTATCGATTATTTCATCCTTAGTTCTTTCTCCAATTATTTTGTGATCCATATTTTCTTCTTCGATGATTTTATAATCCTCTTCTTGATCTTTAATTTTTTCTATAGTTAACGCGCGATCCGAAATAGCTTGTTTTTCATCAATTTTTGAATCCTCGGTTTTTTCTACAATAATTTTATAGTCCATACTTGTTTCTTCTTCGAATTTATGATCCCTCGTTTCTTCCTTATCAATTTTTTGATCTTTTACCGTTTCTTCAGTTACTTCATAATCCACGATTGTTTCTGCATCAAATTTTTGATCTTTGATTGTTTTTTCAGTAATTTTTTTATCTTGACTTATTTCTTCAGTAATTTTATAGTCTTCCATCGTTTTTTCATAATCTTCTCCTGTACTTTTTACAATAAATTTTTCTTCGTCACTAATTTTCTTCTCTTCGCTACTTGTAATAATACTTTCCATGATTCGATTATCAGGCTTAATTTTAATATCTTCTTTTTCTTCATCATCTATTTCTCGATCATCTAAAAAAATATTTTCTTCTATTTGTTTATCAGTTTCTTCTTTATGAGGAATCTCCATACTTAAGCTAATTTTTTCTTTATCATTATCATTGAATGCAATTTTTGTCGAATCTTCCTTTTCAAAAATGTGATCTGTGGTTGAAATATCTACGAGTTTTACTTGTTTTTCTTCCTCTAATTTATCCTCTATATGTACATCTGTAATATTGAATTTCATACTATCTTTTCCATTGCTTAAAACTTGAGATTTTACGTCCTTTTCCATTTCTTGCGTTGCGTCCATTTTGCCATTGTGCTCTTCTTCTGTAGGCACGTGTACTTCTACCTGTATCCTTTTTTCTGCCTTCTGTCTTGCGCCATTTTTATCCTCTATATCGTGTTCATATCTTGACAATACATTCTCTTCTTCTTCTTCTTCTTCTTCTGATTCTATTTTCTTGGACTCGTCGCGTTTCTTTTTGAAATCTTCTGACATTTTCTCTATTTCTTCTTTCAAATATTTATACGTGTCACTTAATTCTCTGTCTTCTTGTTCCGATTCTTCTATTCTAGTATCAAGTTTAGTTTCAATTTGTTTTTTAAAACCATTCAGTGGTTTATCCCTTTCCATGTACTCCTCCAATTTATCTCGAACCCGTTCAATTATTTCTTTCTCACTTTTACTTACTAATTCATCCACACGTTTAGTTTCTTTTATTCTATCCTCTTCACTATATTTCATACTCTCATCCTCTCGTTTCATTGTTTCTTTGATTTTCGTAGGTTCTACTTTAGACGCCATTTTATCAACTTTCTGATCTCGTACGACAATTTTACCTAATTCTTCTTTTTTAATTGGACCCATATCGATGAACTTAATATCTGTAATTAATTGTTCCTTGGTATGCAAATGAGCCGAATCATCTAACGCTTTCTTTGAACTAACACGTTCTTTCTGTTCTTTCGTAGATTTTTCAAATAAATCTTCACTCTTATATATCCCATTTTTCGATGATTCTACCATACCAACTTTTCGTTCCTCCGTGCTTGCTGTATCTTTCTCTTCTTCCGTGGAAGTAGTCACTTTCTGTTCACTGGTATCTTCCCTTGACCTTTCAACAAAATCATCGCTAAATTTTTGAATTATTTTCTTCTCGAGCCTCTCCCTTTTAGGCTGAAACAAACCGTTCGAATCTCTCTCTGAAAAATCCGTACTGCTCTTTTTCTCGAAAGCGAACGCATCCCTTTCCCCTTCCCTTTTCTCTTCCGTACTAGTACTGGTTTCCTCGACCACGTTTTGCTTACGAGACACAACGCTTAATTTCGGCGCTTTTGCCGCCACCTTTCCAATCTTCTCAGATTTTAATTCACCTTTCGATACTCCATCTTTCCGTTTCTCCATTTCCTCATCCTTCGATTCGGACACTTGCTTTTTCGATTCTCGTCGATCCATCTGTTGTACCAATCGTTTCACTTTCGCATGGTTACCAACAGATTGTTTCTGCTTCGTGCTCTCATGGCGCGTCCCACTCGGCTTCTTCGGTTTGTCAAACCCAAGTGAATCGTCAAGTTCCGAACTACCTGTACTCATGACTTGACTCTGCTGATACTTCAACTTTTGCTTCGTCTTAGCTATAGCCGAATCTTTTCTCTGCTTTCCTTTCTGCTCCAGTTTTGACGTCGTTTCGTGCTTCTGCGAGGTTGAAGGGTCCATTTTTTTCGAACTCTTGTGATCCAAGTCCTTTCTCGCCTCCTTGGAGTCAGACTTTTCTTGACAGGTGCTGTCACTGCTCTCCTGGAATTTCTTGTCCCCCAACTTACTCAGTTTCTTCGTGAGCAACGTAAATTCTTTCTCGAGAATCCTGAAACTTGGCTTTATCACTCCCTCCGACTTCTGCGCCTTCGATCTCGTTTCCCTTTTTGGACTTTTCTCCTTGGGGCCAACGTGTTTCTCACGTTGAACTTTTATCTCTGGCGAGGACGATTCCGTGACGTTGTTCACCCTCCGATCGTCCGTTACCTCTTCGCTACTTTTCTCCTCGCGTTTCTCTTTCGTCCTCTCCTCGGAGGATCCGCTCTCCTTTTCGTTCAATATTTTGTAACTGATACTCGTTTGCTCCGTTGATTTTCTATAACTCCTCATCGTTTCGTCTTCCTCGCCTTTGCACGAGCTTCCATTCCCGTCCAAAGAATCCGAGATCTCTCGCAACACTTCCGGTTCCAGAGAAATCTTCCTCCCTTCCTTCACCTCTCTCACTTTCTTCCTCAGGATGCTCAATCGTTTATCGAAGCAAGGGCTGCCCTCTTCCTCGATGGGCGACTTCATCCACAGGGTTCTCGACCGTCTCCAATCCCCGTCCCCCCCGTATTTCTTCCTAGATCTCAACCTCTTCCTGTATCTGGACTCCTCGTTGTCCGACTCGTCGTTGTCGCTTCTGCTCTTCACGTGGCGATCCGTCTGAGTGGCCGCCGTTCTATCCGTTTGAGTGGCTATCGCCACCTGGCCGGGCAGACTCTGCGTCTCCAGATAGCTGGTGGAATCCATCACACCCGCTCTTCGATTTTCTTTCTCCAACAATAATCGTGTCAACAAAACGTTTTGCCTTGCCAATTCCAAATCGTGGAAGGGATACTGGGCGTTGTTCGATTGATCCTTGGCAACGATCAACGTTGGCCTCTCGCCGATCGAGCCGGCCTCTTGCCTCTCTTGCCTCGTCGTTTCTCTCATCGTACGAGACTCCTTCTCCTTTCGAGCCTCGTAATCACGATCGTGATCGATCACGAGTCTCTGAACGTTGGGCCCGATCTCCTCTACGTGTTGCCTGTGACCGAGCTCCAACCTTTCCGGTATCAAGATTATCTCCGGTTGCTGGTTGCAAACGTCTTTCGATCGTTGATGCGATTCCATGCTACGAGCTGCCTCGATGTCCTGCATCGACAACTCGTGCCTTGACTTCTGGTCCTCTATGAACCTTTGCAGAATTATATCCTTACCGTCTATGATTAAAGTTGGTGGACGGTGAGGATGTGGTTGAGGATGGGACGTCGCGTTCTCTTCTACTTGTCCTCGCGTTACTAGTCGAAGGACTTCGGCGTTTCCCTCGCGGAAAAAGTGTTGCTCTCTCACCGCCGTTTCTTCGTTCGTGTCGTGTTCCACGAATCTGGAACGTGTAATCTGCGATGAGATTTCGTCCTAAATTTAACACGTTCCTGAATTTTTTATTAGATCTTTGAAAAGAATGGACACGAATTTGTTGAACGAATTTGACGGTGGGATGACCGCTTACCTACCTTTGCCTGTAAGCATGTTGCAGATCCGAACCTCTGTCCATCTCGTGCCGTTGCAAAGATTCCAATTCGGCAGTGCGGTAACCTCTTCCCTTTTGATCTTCGATATCCTCCATGTACATTCTTTCTTGCTCGTTCATCCTACTCCTCCTCGAGTGATCGTAAGAACGCCCCCCTCCCCCGTCTCTCAATCTTTGAGCCTCGACGCTCATGCGAATATCGTTCGGTTGCCCGGAAATATAGGCAACGTCCCCAGGTAGGGAACAATTTTTCACGTTTCTTTTGTTGAATTGCCAATTCCTTCTTGTTGGATCCGCGCTCCACGCTTGTTTCCTTCCATTCCACGATACTGAAATATGAATAAAGATTCGCATGATTGAAATTACGTACGAACACGATTATAGATAAATAATACGGTTTACCTTCGATAGGTATTGCCGGTTGTCGATGAAGATGCCTCTTCGGTCTTCCGTCCGCACGTACGACCAACATTTCTGAGGAATGTACTCGCCTTTTCCTGGGCGCCATGTAAAACGGGCATCCGGGACATATGCAGCAAGCAATCAATATGGCGACGGCCAAGAGCATGAGTAGACCCAGTATTATCAGAAGCCAGAATAACAATTTGTTTTCTGCTTTGTAAACGGTCTGAAAAAAAGTTACCTTTTTAAAATAAAATACTTTTAACGCAAATTTATATAGAAGTTTAATTACAATATACAATTAATTCAACTTTAATTTCAATTTTTTAATATATATATAAATATGTATTACACACCACTTCTTCGTTTTGAGCAGTGGTAATCGTGTTATTGATAACAGTTGTTTGGCCATCGTTAGTATGTCTAGGCGTTCCATCAAGTGGAACCTTTGTATTGTCTATGTTCGTTGTATTCATAATCGCATCGGTTCCTCCTATAATCCCAACCCCATTGGCAGCCAAAGTTTCTCGAATCTTCTCCACATCTACCAACGATGCGCCTGGCTCCGTTTGTTCAACACGAGCTATAACGATACTCCTGAACAGAAGAATATCTTTAAGTTCTATTTGAAGTTGATTTGCAACTTGAATTAAATAATCAAATAAACGTATTATGATTATCTTCACTGACTTTTTCCCTCCTCCTCCTCCTCCTCCTCCAGCGAGAATCCCTGTACCTCCGGTATGATTCTGTTGAATATAAGGGCGAGTTTCTAAAACGGTGACTCGGCCACCTGTAATAGCAGCTAAAGTCTCGGCAGTTTTCGTTGAATCTGGTTGTTCTCCCGGCACCACGAACATCATTATCCGCGCTTCCATAGCGACGCCATTCAATATTCGAATTTTCGTTTCGCTCGAAAGATGCGGTACACCTTCAATTAGTGGCCAATTAATTGTACTTTTCGTATATTTTATTTCGTATATTTTATTTCGTAGAGGGGAAAGAATTTACCTAAATCGTATGCCCTGGCAGTAAGAATGTACAATGGATCATCGTTGGCTCGTTTCCGTCGCTTCTTTATCACCTCCATTATCATTTCTCCAGTTAAATTTCCCGAATTTATCCTGTTTTGATTATTCATCGATAATTCGTTTTCGTACGCGTGATCGATTTCTCCCCGATTTTTCACAAATTTCGTTCCCATTTTCTTCGAAAATTTGTCATAAGCGCTCTGCTTCTTTCGCCTGATTTTCGTAATTGGCGACAAAAGTATTAATTCACCGCTGGTTTCGTTCAAATAAAATTTGTTCTCGTAATTCCCGTGGATTATCTCGTATCTAACCACGTTATTGGGCGGCTCTGAATCAGCGTCGATAGCCTGTCGATATTTCGATCGATTAAAAAAAAAAAAAAATCTTGAATCTCGAATAAAAAAATCGAGTAAAAATTAAACCTTTATAAAAGCTGGCAATGTAAAGTTGGTGAGATCAGAGTTCAACGCGAACTCGTAAACGTCCTTCTCGAATATCGGTGGATTGTCATTGACGTCTAATAAATTAACTATCAAAGGAACAACACCTCTGTTGCCATTCCCATTCTCGTCTCGTGCTTCCACGGTTAACACGAATCTTGCTGCGATTTCTCGATCCAAAGAAGAGCCCATCGCGACGGTTATCAATCCTGTGTCTGGCTCCATGGTGAAAGCTTCGCTCCCCTCTCCTCTTATATCGGTATATCGAACACTTCCGTAGATACCTGTGTCTTTGTCGGTTGCGTGCACCTAAGAAAAAAAAGGATGGATTATCACGCGCGTTCGAAGCACACACGTGTCGATGTTACGAAAAATATTTCACACCTGTGTCACGCGCGAACCTTCCGTCACGTTTTCGGACAACGTCACTTCGTACGATTCTTCATCGAATATCGGTGAATTATCGTTGACGTCTCTTAGAAATATAATAACTGGCGCTAGTGCCGACAGATTTGTCGCCGGACCAACTTCTTGAGCAACGATCTGAACCATGAAAAATGAATCAGAAGAGTTTATTAATTAATGAATTTAATAATAATTAAATAATTTAATAATAGATATATATTTGTTACCTTGAAAGATAGAGATTTGTACAATTCGTAATCAATTAGCGTATTATCTCGTACGGTTACAACAAAATCCGCAGTACGCTCCGCTACTGTTGGATTTATTTCGAATGTATTATTGTTATTCTCCAATTTTAACGTGAACACTCCTGCTTTCCCGATATCTTCATCTTTCACCTTTGTCGAATACTGTTCACCAAAGTTTATCACGGTCCCCGGTTCAGGATTCTCGTCTATCGTGGCAATGTAACTATGAGACAGAGCGAAAGAAAGACTCGCTTTAATCTCGATAACGATTTCTTGGAGTTCAAATTTTTATTCGATATAAAGGGATTAAAAGAGATTTACAGATCGTGGCAATATAATTATGAAACAGAGAAAGACTCGCTTTAACTTCGATAAGAATTTCTTGGAGTTCGAATTTTTATTCGATATAAAGGGATTAAAAGGGATTTACAGATATACGTGATTTATTTAGAAATACTTGTTAATAATTGGAAATAATTCACGTCTCAGGTACCAACTTATCACTCTCGAAGTACGGTGGACTGTTTCCTGGTTCCCCAAGAAGGAAACCAACATCGACAACTGTCGCTTGGGCTGGTGGCTCGTCCCTGTTCCTTCTTATCTCTTCAGCAACTACCGTAAGTACAACCGGAGCTCCGACGTGCGTGATTTGCGTGAGCTCCTCCAAAGGTCTAGCAAGAGTGATTTCACCTATCAATTAAATATAATTTAAATAATTAAGACTAAATCTAAATAAAGTTTAAAATCTCCACGTAAACTAACTTTCCAGTTTAAAATTCTATGATATTTAAAAATCATTATTATCGCCTCCTGGTAAAAATAATTATAATCAAATTTTCTACAAATTTTATTTACATTTAAGCGTGTTTAAAATTTCGTTCGTTTCGATGTAAAATGTAAAATTTTGCTTGTCACGTCACGATAGATTAATTACCAATTACACGTTTGTGTTATAAATAATTTCGGTCAATGATCCTGTTCACTTATGCACGAACGTAACGTAAAACACGCGTGTCCAGTGATAAAAATTTTCCACAACATATCACGAAACGAAGTTTAGAAAAATTAGAATATATTTCCATCATACATTATTCAAACTTCATTAAAACGCCGACCATTCGCGTATATTTTTCAAGCTTCGCGTTTAAAAAAATATTATTTAAAATCGTTGGAAATAAACGCGAAATTTCTCAACCGATCGATCGAGTGCTTAAAATTTCCTTATCTCGTTCATTTATTCCGCCATTATTGCGTAAAAATTATAGCCGCCTGCCCTTTCTTTTTTCAAGGAGAACACAATACTCCTTTATCTTCCATATTCTTTTCCTGTCCTGTCCGTTTCTTTTTCACTCCCTTTCCCTTTACACAATGTCCATACACACATGTACACGAAGAGGTCGCATGCTTCGTGTCACGAAATGATAAGCATCGTAGCCTGAAAAGCAGAGACTGACCCCCAAGCACGATCGATACCGCGTTGTAGACCGCGTCAAGACTCTCCCTGACCACTTCCATCGAGTTCTGCCCACTTCCTCGCCTCCCACTTATTTTTGGTTTCGCGAAAAAAAAAAAAAATAAAGAAATCCGTATCACCGATCTCGAACATTAGATAAACACGTTCGTGCGAGGTTGTAATCATCTTGGAAACGAGCGTATAAAGTTGCCCCGTCGTTTCACGGCCTTTTACAGTGCTTATCCTCCAACGATGAAAAACGCGTTCCTTTTTTTGGAAAAAAAAACACAAGACGAAGATTTTTACTTTTATCTTTCGAAACCAAGAATTTTACCGATTTTTATCTTTATTTTAATGATTAATTCGTAAAATGAATTTTTTTCCCCTTAAATGTGGAAAAGCTTTTTCTTTTTTGCAGAAGAAAAGAACGTTCTGATTCTTAATATCGGTTAGTCGGTATAGCTTTCTCGTAATGGAATTTCTTTGGATCTTTCATTTATTTTTCACCAAGATGTAATTGCATATGTAATCCTCCCTTTGCGGTATCGACTATACCGGGCTATATGAATCATTCCCTCACGCTTTAACGCTAGGAAGCGGGATATCGAAGTAGTGGTAGATTAATTCGAGACCCTACTCATCAGGGTGGATGAATTCTTGGGGAAATCAGGTCATCCGGGGATTTATGTATGAGTGTACCCGTGAATAATTCGTCTACCGATAGCACGGATGGTAAATGTAATTACACCCCTGTAAATCATTGTGATTTCTGCTCGCTTATTCGAGGTAATCAAATTTTCTCTCGAGCTTAAATAGGTTAAATAGGGATACCGATTTAAGTAAGAATTTAATAAAAGCGTTTCGCGTGCGTGATGAAATTTCTCTTGCGAAATTTGAATACTTTTATTATTTAGCATTATAATTTAGATTGTGATAATAAATAGATTTTTTTCTTGGAAAAATATCGAATTGAATTAAATTTTTGTTTCTCTCTCTCTCTTTTTCTCTTTTGTGATTTGAATTAATATAAAAAAATTTTTGAAAAAGGAAAGACAGTGTTATGATCATAGTTTACGATACAAGGTTGACAGTCGACTATAGAAGATGAATCACTCGTGATAATCATTTTTATATTCCTCCATTTTATATTCCATGGATACTTTTTAATGTTTCTTTAACGTTTCTTTTTTTCTTCTTTTTTTTTACCGTTTTCATTTCCATCGAACGAGATATTAGAATCGGTATTTCGTTTCACGATTTTAAATGCAATTGTTCTTACCACTTGTCTCCAAGATGTTAAAAAACGGTGTAAAAGGATTGCCTTCGGACACGAGACCGTACACGATTTCACGTGGCACTCCTTTATCTCCGTCTTCTGCATGCACTCGCACCACTATATCACCCTAAAATCAAATGTACTTTATTCTCTTTCGCGACAAAAGATAATTTCCGACAATTTCGCAAATCTCGCAAGATAATTCGATTTGATAATTTATTAAACAACGATTCTATGTTCAAATGTTCTATATGAAAAAGGAAATGTAAATTTGAAAATTTAAAAAAAAAAACAAATTACCGGCAAATTACTTACAGGTTGTATGGAATTATTAATCCTCGTGAGGGGAGGTGCCAAGGTAAAAATTGGAGGGACATCTTGTACGTCTTGAACTATCACAACCACGCTTAGACCCGCGATATTTCTCGTATCCTTCCCCTGTTCCGTGTACGGATCCTAAATAAACGAAACGCTTTATTTCGATTTTTCCCATTGAGAAGTAATTGCAATTGCACTCGTTCGAGTCGCTCTCGTACCGTTGCATACATGGTAAGGGTGTACATAGATTGCGTTTCAAAATCTAACTCTCCAGTTAGTATGATTACTCCTCGTGTTTGGATGGGCGTTTGCCGTTGCCTTATGGTAAAAAGTTCTTTTGGTTGCTACAAAGGTGACGATAAATTATAACGCGATGTTATGATTCGCATATAAATGTTATTTTATTATTTAAATATAAATATCGCTTAATTTACCCATAGTTCGATATAAACAGGTTTTCCGCTTCGAGAATTGGCTCTCACTAGAAGATAATCCAACTCTTTGCCCGGTTTGGTATCCTAAAGGAAGTTGAAAACCATTTAATTTAATTTCCTTAAATATAAAAATAAAAAAATATTATTCCTTTGTATATTCTCTATTAATTACGAACAATCACGAATTTCTGAAACGTTTTTTTTTTCTCTCTTCTTCTTATTCTTACATTCTTATGAATAATAATTAAAAGAGATGAAGATTGCGAAGCGCGAAAAGGCTAAATGGCATCAGTAATCGTGTCGTTTCTGTCTAAATAAATAATTACCTCGGGCACCATAATGAGGGAAGGTATGTGCGGGAATATCTTATCACGAGGGGTGGTCGCGTTCGTAACAGAAATAGTGGCTTGCATTGAGTTCGAGTCTCCCTTCGTGTCCCTAACCCTCACGGCAAAATCGTGAAGGCGTCCGGGAACCAGTCGTTTCGTTAGAATCACATTTGCTTGACACACTTTGTTATACAACGTGCACGGCAGGTTGTCGATCCTTACAACAGGTGTGATGGTAGCTAAACAAATAAAAAATTATTGTTACTCCGATCGATACTTTATTTTTTCTAACACGTTCAATAGTCGCAAATAATTAATTGTAACAAAGATATATTGGTCATGTTGTCTTTTTTTTTTTGTTTTGTTTATAATTCAAGTAATTTACATTGAGTTGTAATATTGGGATTACCGGTTATTTCGAAAACGAGTGGAAAATCTGCATCCTGGTCAGTGGCGCGCAGACGAAAAATGACGGAATCTACTTCAGCATCCGCTGGAACTAGGACTAATCCCATGTCCGTGGAAGTATCAAAGCGTGGACGTGCACCTTTCGCCCACGCGAAAACGAATCCGAAATAAATCCATACTTTGCACCATTCTCCTGCGAAGGGCATTCTGTAAACAGGGAAATCGCGTTTTCTACAATTTTATCTTAAATAAATCGAAAAGTTATTCATACGAATATTCAATTCGAAAAATTTCGTTTCGTTGTTACCCTCAAGTTCACTTTCACTTGTATTAAAAAATTTTAATGTTATTTCAATTCCATTATCGCGAATAAGGAGTTTATTTTTCGATCAATTTGACAAATAGAGTTTACCCACTTTCTTGCGTTAATGAAATGATCGATATCTCGTTAGTTTCCAGTCTCTTATTTCTCTTATTCCTTTTCTAAATATTGCAAAGAACCGAGTTCAAATCCCTTCCAACGAACTGACAGTCATTCCATTTATCGAGTGAGCAATTATTTAAGGGAGAGTTGGTGGTCATCCGCGTGATAGGGCGCGCACCCCTTCCCTCTTTCAACAGTAGTGTAATTCATCGACAATAATCGGGTGATAAATTTTCATTTAAATATTTGAGCAATATTATTTTTGCATATTATTTTTAACGAATATTACGTATGTATATTGTATATTGTTCGTATGGTTACATGCGTGTGAGTTTCGTTTTAATATTTGAACCCGGAAATTTGATAGAAATAAACGATTACTGTTAGACGCCATCGCGTTCAATTTCCGATCAACAAGAAATTTATCGATCTCTTACTAAGAAATAATTCATAATACTGTAAAATACCGATGTCATGGCATAAGAGAGGTACTGAATATTTAAATTACAATGAAATATTCATCCACAACGTTTTCTTTTCAACCTCTTAAATTGTTCTTTCTTCGATCATTCAATTTATTTTGTAATTTAATAAATTTTATGTTATATTTAATGATAATTAATGATTAATAAAATTAAACGCGTAAAAAAAAGTATAATGAATCGTTCAGATTTTTTTTTTAAATTTATGATTTGTTGACAGAGGAATTAAAAAAACAATACTATGGTTACGTGTAAATAATCTATATTAAAGAGAAAGATTCTGATAGAATCGGAAATATCGATTTTATGATCAAGAAACGAGGTCGTGACCATTCGTTGTTCGGAATTAATAGTATTCGTCAGTGGTCAGTTCTTTTGCATCAATTGTATCAATCCTTTTACTGGTAAAAGTAGGTTTGACGTAATGCTTTAATGGCGATCCAGTCCATTAATTTTTTTCTTTTTTTCTGCTATTAGATAGTGTGTATTTTAGAAACGATGCTATACATCAATTACATACAAAAATTTGAGAATATCCTCTCCTCCCAATTAATATGAAAGCCTTTAATTTGCTTCATTCTCAAGACGTCTGCCTTCAAGTCTGTCGTTCAAGAACGTTGAAACGATTAAGTACATCTCTACCTCACGAATTATACGTGGCAATATCATTTAACCATGGCACGATTCGCCACGTGTCGATGAAATTTCACTAAATTGAATTAAATAATACGTGGGATAAAAGTAAACATATGCTATCAATTATTTCTACGACAAATTTTAAGAGAAAATGGTTAAAAAAAAAAAATAATTATTACTTGAATTGAATTTCGAATTGTTATGTAGTGGAGTTTTTTCTCACGAGTCAAAGTTCGATCAATCTCGAATGCAATAAAAAATGCATAGAGGGTTCAAAGAACTTTGATAAATAAATATTTAAAAATAACGGAAATCGGAATACTTATTAATTATTCAACTCATCAAATTTCAATTGGTTCGTGCAAACACGAGACAGTTGATAAATGTTTAAAAATATTCATCTCATGTTTTTGTCCTCGAGAAGAAGAATCAAGCTTTGTCAAGTTCGTCCATTCGTGTGCATAAGAATTTAATAGTATTCCTGCTGTCGGTCATTGTCCACTCCGGATGGATCGATCTGATTTTCTTTTTCCCTTTAACACGCACCTGTCATTATACACGTAATATATATACACGTAATATAATATTCATATTGAATTCGGTTACAGTATAGATTTTTCGCATTAATTTATGTAATACGTTAATAACGAAAAATGTGAAGTGAGAAATTATGAGAAACTTTATCTTTGATGAATATCATGAATGAAGTAAATGTGATTATGTATATTTACGAAATGGTGGAACGCCTTTCAAGTCGTAAAATGTAGAACGATCAAATATCTTCGTTAGTCGGATACGAAATGTCGTGTTGGCATGCCACGCCAACTTAAAGCACACAGGTCGTGTCAATTAAAACGATCTTGTATTCACATAATACACAAACTTTCTTCTGGGAAAATACAACGCAATCGAACTGGATATCTACTATATTTCTTCGTGTTTTATTACTGTTTCGTTAGATTATAAAAATTTAAAAATATAAAATTAAAAAGAAATAGAGAGCATTAAAGCATTGGAAGAAAAAAATGATTTTCTTTCTATTTTAAAATATTTTAAAAAATTTATCAATATTACTTATATATTATTCGTTTCAACTTACCTGATCGCAGAGTCATTCAGTAGCGCAAAATCGTGAAGCAATGCATCGTGTTTTTGCCAGGATATCCATCGATCGTTCCTTCAACGCATCCTTCAAAAAAATTACTTTTTCCCGCGTAAAGTAATTCATACATGATACAGCGACCCACACTTCTTACGAATCATACCTCTCTCCCTCGAAAAAACTATCACTTTAAAAATAACGAGCAATCATGTCGGAATAATTATTCTGAGTATTCTGAGTATTCAATAAAAATCGATAAAAAGCTTCAAAAATAATCAAATATCTTAATCGAAAATTGTAATGTAATAAGGAGAAGACGTTGAACGAAGCACTTGCGATTAAAGTAACACGTTGACAACACACGTCACGTAAATTTTTCATAACATTTCGTTTTTCTCC